TTAATATGTAACAACCCCGAAAAGGTTTTATTAGTAGCTGTATTTTTGGCATTCTAAGTTATAATTTATTTTTTTGTAATTCTGTTGCAAAATAATTTTCTAGGCATAAAATCTGACAACTTTTATTGGGAGAAAAATCTGTAGAAGTACTTTCGCTTTTTAAAAACAAAAAAAGTAATCGTTTCAACAAAGTTGTAGAATAGAACAAAAATTTTTTTATGACGTACATCGCAAACGCCTTGATCCCCTTGGTTTCTAAGCTCTTTAGTCTTTCCACACAAAAATCCTTGATTCATGTCTGCCTCACAGTCTGTTTGATCGAGAATTGTAACATTTACTTGTTTCAATACATCAGGAAAGTTTGACGCCTGCCAGTTGCCATTACCTAGATACCTAACGGCATCAGCGCCGAAACCCAATACTTTTGCTATTTTTCCAATATAATTTTTATCTTTTTTTGGCAACTGTGCTACACCAATATTCGGAGAGTTAATTACATTGAATTTTTTTTGGAGCTGAAAAAAATATACGCAGTCATGTATTTCTTATGTGTATAAACATTTCTAAGTAGTGAATAATTATTATCTTAATATGCATTATATCTTATACGAGATTAATTAAAGTGATAGTGCCTTTTTTTAAATACCTTGTGCTAATACTTTATAACCCAAAAATTATACTGTATGATTGTAATGTATTAATAAGATATACGAAAATAATTTAGAGCAAGTCAGAAGAAACGAAGAAAAAACTAATTTCTTTTTTTAAGTTCAACGCACCAACTTCTCTTGCCGAACAATCTAGAAAATGTATTAAACTGTAGAATTCAATACATCTCCATCTTGATTAGACTTCCTTCAGCTCAAGATAAAAAATTTATCGTCTAATGAACAGTATCTTTTAAGCTCCCTTCTCTTCTCTACCATGATTTTTATAGTTATAAGTTACTACCATTGTCCGTAATATAAAAAATTTATTCATTACATTAATGGTTTTAATGTGTGTTGAAATTTATACATGAGACGATTTTATTAAATATGTCAATGTTGTATCGATTGTGAAATAACGACATCTTTTTCAAATCATCAATTTATATTTAATAACAATAAGCAGTGAAGTTATCTAATTTAATCGTGTATGCTTTTTCGTGAAAGATAAGCATAATTTATACAAATATTAATTTTGCACTTACTTTTAAGACAGCAATGTCATTAAGATTTCTTTCACGCTTTTCGTATCTTGCGTGAAGGTAAACTTTCTCCACATTTATCATGTGGGTATGATCTGTACTTTTGCTCGTCCCTGCGACAACAAAATATGATTCGTCACGGTATTTAAAAGGACTGAATTTTTTTTCATTCCTGTCAAAGCAATGAGCTGCAGTTAAAACTACATCATCCTCAATAAGAACGCCACTACAAATTTGGCCTCTGATTATATGTACTGAAACTGCATAGTTGTTATCATTTATGTTTGCTGTTTTACCCCCAACAATATTTTCCAATTCCAAACCAGCAACTGTAAATAAAATCAATAACTTTATTTTTTAATTACATCACCTCCTTTTACAAATTGTTCTTAATGCACTACTAGTTATTATGTATCGATAGAAATATTCCATAATTTTTATCGTAATACAAAAAGTCCCATGATTTCACTGTGTCAATCGTCTAACGTGCATCATGGTAATTTGTTTAGGTACGTAAATACAATAAAAATTATGAATATTTCTTTCAGTTCATCAAAATCACCCACACAGGTAGTGTATAAGTTTTTATCATAATATGAGTATAACAAAGTAATATTTTTTCCTTTATTAGTGTAGAAAAATCCACAGTTTTCACAAAGTAAATGCCTATTTTGCATGGAATGAGATAGTAGTTTTCTAGTAACCATAATAAAGTAAAAAAAATTGGCGTTTACACAGTAAAACTTTTGTTTACCTTTCCGTCCTATAATTAATTGATAAATTTAATCAATACTCGTTTATTTTACGCTTTGTAAGCAAAAACATTTTCTAATTAAAAAAAATTAGTTAACAATACATGTAAAATATTAGTGAAAAAAATATGTCACATTAATTATGACTGTACTTTTTCTGCTTTGTAAGAAATGTAAAAAATATCTTCATGCAACAAAAAACTTTCTTTTGTATTGTTACTTGTTTAAATTTTTAATTTTTAAATTTAAACTAAAAGAACAAGGCTCTCTTACATACCGTTGCCAATAAGAGTGATGAAAAGCGCTGCCAAAACGTACAATTGATAGTCCTGCGCCATATTAGATACTTCCTCTAAAATTCTTAAACTGAAAAGTTTTCAAAAAAAAATAAGTTTTACACTCAAAAAGTAGATGTTTTTATCTTTCTGAAACAATCACTGTGAATACTATTAAAGCATCTGAATAAAACTTTAAGTAGAGTAGTTCAGCTAGAAAAAATGTGAGTAAAATGGTTGAATTTTCTTGAAATACTTCCCCTTGAAAAAGCCATGCAACAAAAATGTTTTTGAGATAATTTTATGTTTTTTCGATACATCATTTACCGTAATAACATAAAGGCCGTCAAAGTTTTCACTTTAGTATGTAAACATAAGATATGTAAACAGACTATTTGACAAAATTAACATTCAATAGAGTTAAAATTTTTAATATGTGTATGCTTAAAGATCACTACCAAATTTTTAAATTAGGTAAGCAAAAACAAATAGTTATGGGAATAAAAGAGATTGTAAGACTAAATGTTGAAGATTTATAAAAAATAAAATATTCCCCGTGATATGCTGTATTAAAATCTAGACTATGCTTGAATAAAAAATGTAACCATCTTATGCAACAGTTAACTCTTTTCATTATCGTTACTTATTTAAAGTTTGAATTTGAAATTTTTCAACTGAAACTAAAAATACAAGGCTCCCTAACTTACCGTTGCCAATAAGAATGACGGAAAGCGTTGCCAAAACAGATAACTGACAGTTCAACGCCATATTAGATACTTCCTCTAAAATTCTTAGACTTAAAAATTCCCAAAAAAAATTAGTTTTATACCCAAAAAGTAGATGTTTTTATCTTTCTAAAACAATCACTACCGTGAATACTATTGAAGCATCTGAATAAAACTTTGAGTAGAGTAGTTCAGCTAGAAAAAATGTGATTGAAATGGTTGAATTTCTTTGAAATTACTTCCACTTAAAAAAAAACCGTGCAAGAAAAATCGACAGTATGTTTTTTAAGCTTCGATCTGGTAATCCCACATCGTTTTTCATTGGCTTAGTCAATGATATGAACCATAAGATACGTCATGGATACAATGACAAAATGGGAAATAACGTAGATAAAATTTTAACGGAAAATGGGAGTATTTTGCTGATTCGTTATTTCACCGTCATTCACCATTACATAATGTATAATAAATAATACTGTTTTTTTAAACTGTTCGCTAAGTTTAGTAACGAACTACCTTCGACATTTTTGTAATAAGCGCATCATTTTAAAAACATATTTTATTTACTTAAAATTTCAAAGACGTATTTCAAAAATTTTAAATAATTTTTTTTATACCTTGTAGTACGTCACCACGGCGAGCACGAGTACCAAAAGTGACCTTGTTTTTGCCCTGGTTTGATTTTCACCAGGTGTGAACTCTATTTTTTCTACTGAGAGCGTAGTTAACGCAAAAAAAAAAAAAAATGCCAACTAGGAAAATCTTAAATGATAGTCTTACGTTAGTTCATGAATAGAAAAAACAAGTATAAAAATAAGTCTTTATTGACTTTTGGTTTTTGGCTTTAAATTCTCAACATACTACAATACATTACAATGGATATGAATGTTGAATTAATAAAATATCCACACTAATGAATTTGTGTACTATAAAAAAAGAAATTATAATTTTGTAATATACTTCACTTCTTAAATCGAAAATTTTTATGTTTACCAAAAGCATTGGCAATTATAATAATCTTATTTCCTTTTACAGTAATAGTTGCACTGCAAATTAGCAGCGAAATTTTTTTCAAGTGACACTCTAGTATGTTGATAATAATATTATTTTTCATTTACACAGTATTTTTCAGCCTTTTAAGACTTAATTCGTGTATAATATATTTTATTCACTTCGTTTCATTTTGTTTATTCTCAAGTGTTAACCACTCCATATTTTTTTTAACCGTTTTTTCTACTTCCAATGGTATTTTTGATTGAATAATCATCCTCTATTTTGTATGATATTTTTGGAGCTAATAAAGAACGTAGTCAGCCACATGCACACTTTTGGCTGACGTAATTAACCGTTTGTGGGATTGATTTTATACCATACTGGTCGTAAGAATGAGAGGTTAAACGTAGTCCGTACAGTAAACCACACGTGGCGCTGCTACTTGACTACTCGCCAATGTGGTGTTGTTCCTTATAAAAGTGGTAGCTTATACATACCATATTTTTTTCTTATTAGTAAACGATGGAGAAGGTGCCAATTAAGATGTTTAAGGCTTTTTTTGTTACTCGTGTAAAATGATCGGGTTTGACTAATTTATTCTCTACTACAAAATCTGATAAATATCTGATAAAAAAAATACTACTGACTAAAATCGTATGCCGTGTAAGTAATTATGCTAAATTGTTTCTGAAAGTCAATGTTTTATCTTTATAAGTTGTATGTTCGAAACATCTAAGTATTATATGAACTGTATTTAATTTTTTTTCAATTTCAATAGTAATTAAAGTCCCTAGCAAAATAAAAATTTGGGAAGCATCTTTGGAAATAGTTTGAAAAAAAATCAGACATGAAGTTAATAAAAACAACCTTTTCTAGTAGCAAAATATTGTAGGAACATGATTGTTTTAGTATTAA